ATCAGAAGGTCGGCGGTTCGAATCCCCGTGACAGGGTGAGCTCCTGTTGCTCGGTCCCTGCTTCTGCCAACCTAGCAGTTCGACAGCACGCAAAGTGCAAGTAGATAAATAGGTACCGCTCCGGCGGGAAGGTAAACGGCGTTTCCGTGCGCTGCTCTGGTTTGCCAGAAGTGGCTTAGTCATGCTGGCCACATGAACCGGAAGCTGTCTGAGGACAAACGCCGGCTCCCTCAGCCAATAAAGCAAGATGAGCGCCGCAACCCCAGAGTCGGTCACGACTGAACCTAATGGTCAGGGGTCCCTTTACCTTTACCTACAGATCTACAGCACAGGGGTGGGCGACATTTCTCAGCCCGAGGGCCTGATTCCCTTTTGCGCAGCTTTCTGGGGGCCACAGGCCAGCGGTGGGCAGGGCCAGAGGCAGAAGCAGGCAGGGCAACAAATGAAAACCTTACCTTTGTGCAGGAGGCTAGTTTCTACGCACACTCCCTCTCTCCTCCATCCTAGGCAAACCTCAGCAGACACACCCCACAGCCAGGGCAAGAACGTGGTGCCAAGCAGGACCAGTGAGGGTGTGTGGCCTGTGGAGGATCCTGGGGGCCAGCGAGGACTACATCTGGCCCCTGGCTTGAGGTTCCCCACCCCTGCTTCAGCAGAAGCGCCAGAGGCTTGAGGGGTTCGTTGGCCAGTTTGCGCCAGTACGAGACGTTCAGGCACATCCTGCTCTACTGGCCAGATGCCCTTCTAGTCCCACAACCCTCGTTGTTGTTGTTGTTTAGTCGTTTAGTCGTGTCCGCCTCTTCATGACCCCCTGGACCAGAGCACGCCAGGCACTCCTGTCTTCCATTGCCTCCCGCAGTTTGGTCAAACTCATGCTGGTAGCTTTGAGAACACCGTCTCACCATCTTGTCCTCTGCTGTCCCCTTCTCCTTGTGCCCTCCATCTTCCCCAGCATCAGGGTCTTTCCCAGGGAGTCTTCTCTTCTCATGAGGTGGCCAAAGTCTTGGAGCCTCAGCTTCAGGATCTGTCCTTCCAGTGAGCACTCAGGGCTGATTTCCTTCAGAATGGAGAGGTTGGATCTTCTTGCAGTCCATGGGACTCTCAAGAGTCTCCTCCAGCACCATAATTCAAAAGCATCCATTCTTCGGCGATCAGCCTTCTTTATGGTCCAGCTCTCACTTCCATACATCACTACTGGGGAAACCACTGGGAACAACCCTCCTAACCCATTACAAAGAGAAACAGCCCTCTCCACACCGCCTCTGCCTCAGGACTCCTCTTTTCTCCACCCACCCATTTCCCGAAGCTCTCCTTTCCCTGACCCTTGTCTCCCTTGACCTCCTATGCCCTGTTCCTTCTCTGCAGCCTGCCCAGCAGCTCCCCTGCACAGATTTATGATGGGGATGGAGATACAGCCTGAAACTGCAGTCCTGGCCTGAGAACATGAGGAGAGCCTGACGGATCAGGGCCATGGCCCATCTAGTCCAGCATCCTCTTCTCAGATGCAAGCAGGAGTCGAGCACAAGAGCATCGCTCCCCTCCTGAGGTTTCCAACAATTGGCACCTCCAATTGTGGAGGCAAAGCACAGCCTTTGCGACTAGTAGTCATCGCTAGACCTCTCCTCCTCCATGAATTTGTCTAATCCTCTTTTAAACCATCCAAGTTGGTGACCATCCCTGCCTCCTGGGGAAGTGAGTTCAGGGTGGGGTATAAATAATAAATTATTATTATTATTATTATTATTATTATTATTATTATTATTATTATTCCTATTGTTCAGACCAGACACTAAGGTCCAGTTCCAAGGACCTTCTGGCAGTTCCCTCACTGCGAGAAACGAAATTACAGAGAACCAGGCAGATGGCCTTCTCGGTGGTGGCGCCCGCCCCGTGGAACGCCCTCCCATCAGATGTCAAGGAAACAAACAATTACAGTGGTACCTCGGGTTAAGAACTTAATTCATTCTGGAGGTCCATTCTTAACCTGAAACTGTTCTTAACCTGAAGCACCACTTTAGCTAATGGGGCCTCCTGCTGCCGCACAATTTCTGTTCTCATCCTGAAGCAAAGTTCTTAACCCGAGGTACAATTTCTGGGTTAGCGGAGTCTGTAACTTGAAGCGTCTGTAACCCGAGGTACCACTGTATCTGACTTTTAGGAGAAAGTTTTAGGGAAGTTTAGGGAAGTTTTTAATGTTTAATGCTGTATTGTGTTTTTAATATTTGGTTGGAAGCCACCCAGAGTGGCTGTGGAATCCCAGCCTGATGGGCGGGTAATAATAATAATAATAATAATAATAATAATAATAATAATAATAGTTTAACCGTGTGCTGTGTGGAAGAAGGACTTCTTTTTATCTGTCTTCAATCCTTCAACATTCATCTTTGTTGGACATCCATCAGTTCTGGTGGTCCACCCCCTTACTTAAAGGTTTAAGTTGGCCTTTGCTAACATGGCGTCTTTCAGGTGCTGCTGGACTCCCACTCCGTCGCAGCCAGCATGGCCAATGGTTAGGGAGCGGCAGCCCAAGACAAGTGGAGGGGGCCTCGGGTTGGCAATGGCTGGCCGAGGCAATTCGCTTTGACGGGCCAGCAGGGGAGTTTATAAAACGATCAGATTAATAGCTGGCATAAATCAAGTGCTCGGCAGGATTAATGAGGTTTTTAACAGAGCCTGCACCTCAAGACCGCATCAGGCAATAAAAAGGCGCACTTGTGAGTTGTCGTCACAGATGAAAAATGAGGCGACCCAGGGGGTAGACGGAGGGAGGAGGGAGGGGGCGGGGATGATCCATGAATCACACTTGTTGTTCGGAACAGAACTGAGAGGAGAGACGAACGCAGGAAAAGATGCGCTTGGGAATCCCCCTCTTTTTGCTGCATTCCAGTGTCAGGCGCCTCCCGAAGCCCCTTTCATGCAGACAGGCCTATGCAGCTGTTTACTCTTCTTCCATCATTTTAACAACTGTTCTGCTTTGTTTTTATGGGATCTTCATTGTTAGATAGATTAGACGGATTATAAATATTCTAATAATAGAATTGGCTGTATTATTATTACACTGCCTGGGTATTTTATGTGAGTTGGTGGCATATATATTGTTGTTGTTGTTGTTTAGTCGTGTCCGCCTCTTCGTGACCCCCTGGACCAGAGCACGCCAGGCACTCCTGTCTTCCACTGCCTCCCGCAGTTTGGTCAAACTCATGCTAGTAGCTTTGAGAACACTGTCCCACCACCTCGTCCTCTGTTGTCCCCTTCTCCTTGTGTCCTCCATCTTTCCCAACATCAGGGTCTTTTCCAGGGAGTCTTCTCTTCTCATGAGGTGGCCAAAGTATTGGAGCCTCAGCTTCAGGATCTATCCTTCCAGTGAGCACTCAGGGCTGATTTCCTTAAGAATGGAGAGGTTTGATCTTCTAGCAGTCCATGGGACTCTCAAGAGTCTCCTTCAGCACCAGAATTCAAAAGCATCCATTCTTCAGCGATCAGCCTTCTTTATGGTCCAGCTCTCACTTCCATACATCACTACTGGGAAACCATAGCTTTAACGGCATATATATACTTTGATTAAATTAAAAAAATAAATTCTGGGGCATGGGGAAGACTGGCTTCCAGCAACTGGCATTCCGAAGCGTTGCTGCCTTCAACTGTGGAACGGTTTATCTTAACGCCTAAGAGGTCCAAGTACTAAGATGCAGGAGGAATAAGCCACCTCCAGCGCAGTGGAAAACTCCAACTTCTAGAAAAAAACACACACAACTTCTAATACTGTCAGGAAAGCAGCATTTCCCCTCTGCTCAGGGCAACTGTTGACGTTGCTGCATTCTCGATCTCACATCCTTCAAGCGGTGCATAAAGAACCAAAAAACCCCCGGACATGGCTATTGATCTGCTTGGCAATTCCAGGGAGAGAGATTACCAAGGCGCTCCATCTTCAGATTCTCATTATCGCAGAGATAGATGATGAACTAAATGAAGCCTCACACAAGACAGGAAGCATTCAGGCAGCCGGTGCTATTATTGGAAGATTTATAATCCGTCTAATCTATTTAACAATGAAGATCTCGGAAGCGATGGGACCTCTCCGCCGATTCTCAGCGAGGACCGTTAACTGAAAGACCACCAGTCCCTGTCGTAGCATATATAGCATCACTCAGATCAGGGATGGAGAACCGGAGATGCAACAGGTGATGTTCGACTGTAACTCCTATCATCCCTGGGCACTGCCCATGAAGGCTGTGGATGATAGGAGCTGGGAGTTCAACAGCAGCTGGGCAGCCACAGATGTTCCACCTTCCCAGCTTAGATTACCTGGGGAAATATTACTTGCAGTCGTGCACCCTACGGAGCATTGCACCTGGCATTCTTGACTGCCCTTCCCTCTGCCATATGGGAAGCATAATAATAATAATAAAATTTTATTTATATCCCGCCCTCCCCAGCCGAAGCCGGGCTCAGAGCGGCTAACAACAGTAAAATACCACAACATTCTAAAATCATTTCATTATAAAATCAGTTCAAATCAAATTAATGGCAACCAGCGGGCTAGAGTTCTGTCAGGCTGTTCCGCCTGGCCTTTGGTTTGGACTCAGTCTGACCCTTCTGTTTCCCTCCCCTTATGGTTTTGATCTATGGGCTACTTTTAAAATGAGGCTGCATTTTAAATTGCATTTTAACCTGTATTTTAAATTGGTCCCCCCCCCTATTATGTTTTTACTGTAATTTTACTGGTGTTAGCTGCCCTGAGCCCGGCTCTGGCCGGGGAGGGCGGGGTATAAATAAAATTTATTATTATTATTATTATTACAAGTTAGCCAGGTTCCTGATAGAAAAGGGAATCAGGGGGTTCATGGGGAAGGGACCTTGGTTACCTTTTCAGCCCTTCAACCTTGACTCTGAACTGTGTCTTCCCCCAACCCCGAGAAAGGACCACAGTAAGAGACCAACGCAACAGCAGCCAAAACGAGTTCAAACCGAAGCAACCTGTGCCCTTGAGCCGCTCTTACCACAAACTGGTCGATGTCTCTCTCGAGTCCCATGTTGGGCAGGTCTGGCATCATGTGTGCCACCACTTTGAACCCGGCGTCTTTGGCTAGGTGGAATGATTCGCACACAGCCTTCACCGTATGGCCCCTGGGGGAGGGGAGGAAGAGAGGAGGAAATGGGGATTAGAAATGTGGATGCACACACAGAAGGAAGCATCTCATAAGAACATAAAAAGAGCCCGCTGGATCAGGCCAATGGCCCATCTAGTCCAGCATCCTGTTCTCACAGTGGCCATCCATTTTTATTTCATTTTTTTCCTTCCATAGTGGTAATTTTTCTTCAATGACAATGTTTATTTTTTTGGCCAAAAAAATGTTACTTGACAAAACCTTTAAAAAGCAAAACTGGACAACTCAATTTCTTAGCACAGTTAAAAAACAACAACTTGCCCCCCAAAATAGTTTTTCTCTCATTTCTCCATCTTCTTCTTCCACACCCCTAATATAAAGGACATTACAGTCAGGTTACAGATGCTTCAGGTTACAGACTCCGCTAACCCAGAAATAGTACCTCGGGTTAAGAACTTTGCTTCAGGATGAGAACAGAAATCATGCTCCAACAGCGTGGCAATAGTGGGAGGCCCCATTAGCCAAAGTGGTGCTTCAGGTTAAGAACAGTTTCAGGTTAAGAACGGACCTCTGGAACGAATTAAGTACTTAACCCGAGGTACCACTGTATTGCTTATTTAACTTATATGCAGAATTCATCATGCGAAAGGCTGGGCTGGATGAATCCCAAGCCGGAATTCAGATTGCCGGAAGAAATATCAACAACCTCAGATATGCAGATGACACAACCTTGATGGCAGAAAGTGAGGAGGAATTAAAGAACCTCTTAATGAAGGTAAAAGAGGAAGAAGAAGAAGAAGAGGAGGAGGAGGAGGAGGAGGAGGAGGAGGAGGAGGAGTTTGGATTTGATATCCCGCCTTTCACTCCCCTTCAGGAGTCTCAAAGCAGCTAACAATCTCCTTTCCCTTCCTCCCCCACAACAAACACTCTGTGAGGTGAGTGGGGCTGAGAGACTTCAGAGAAGTGTGACTGGCCCAAGATCACCCAGCAGCTGCATGTGGAGGAGCGGAGACGCGAACCCGGTTCCCCAGATTACGTGACTACCGCTCTTAACCACTACACCACACTGGCAGAGGAGAGCGCAAAATATGGTCTGAAGCTCAACATCAAAAAAACGAAGATCATGACGACTGGTTCCATCACCTCCTGGCAAATAGAAGGGGAAGAAATGGAGGCAGAGATTTTACTTTCTTGGGCTTTATGATCACTGCAAATGGTGACAGCAGTCACGAAATTAAAAGACGCCTGCTCCTTGGGAGAAGGGCAATGACAAACCTAGACAGCATCTTAAAAAGCAGAGACATCACCTTACCAACAAAGGTCCGTATAGTTAAAGCTATGGTTTCCCCAGTAGTGATGTAGGGAAGTGAGAGCTGGACCATAAAGAAGGCTGATCGCCCAAGAATGGATGCTTTTGAATTCTGGTGCTGGAGGAGACTCTTGAGAGTCCCATGGACTGCAAGAAGATCCAACCTCTCCATTCTGAAGGAAATCAGCCCTGAGTGCTCACTGGAAGGATAGATCCTGAAGCTGAGGCTCCAATACTTTGGCCACCTCATGAGAAGAGAAGACTCCCTGGAAAAGACCCTGATGCTGGGAAAGATGGAGGGCACAAGGAGAAGGGGACGACAGAGGATGAGATGGTGGGACAGTGTTTGGAAAGACTGAGGGCACAAGGAGAAGGGGATGACAGAGGATGAGATGGTTGGACAGTGTTCTCGAAGCTACCAGCATGAGTTTGACCCAACTGTGGGACGCAGTGGAAGACAGGAGTGCCTGGCGTGCTCTGATCAATGGGGCCACAAAGAGGCGGACACGACTAAACAACAACAACATTGCGCCTTTAAAGAACTTTACCAAGGTGTCCAGATAATGTACCGTCACTATATTATTCTGCATTTGCAAGCTGCATGTTCATGTTCATGTAGCCATCGACAGAGACGAGGTAGAAGAAGAAGAGTTTGGATTTGATATCCCGCCTTTCACTCCCCTTAAGTAGTCTCAAAGCGGCTCACATTCTCCTTTCCCTTCCTCCCCCACAACAAACACTCTGTGAGGTGAGTGGGGCTGAGAGACTTCAGAGAAGTGTGACTAGCCCAAGGTCACCCAGCAGCTGCATGTGGAAGAGCAGAGACGCGAACCCGGTTCCCCAGATTACGAGACTACCGCTCTTAACCACTACACCACACTGGCTCACCACTACACCTTTGTATTCCACCCCCCACTTCAGCTTCACCACCACTGGCTTCCCAGTCAGCCTGTTTTGACTGAGAGGCAGACACACAGCAACCAGACCAACGTATGGGCGGCTGTGGCAACAAAAAAATTACTGGCGGGCAGCACTGGTGTGCCCACCAAAGCTCCAAAAAGAAAAAGCCACACAGTGGCCATTCAGATGTCTGTGGGAAACCAGTAAGCAGGATTCGAGCACAAGAGCAACTCTTCCCTCCTGTGGTTTCCAACAACTGGGATACAGAAGCACCGCTTTTCTTTTTGGGGCTGATCCAGCAAAGACTCTTCTTAATGTTCTGATGTACTATAACCAAGTCTTAAGCCCGAGGCACCACATAAATGAAGCCACAGGTTCCGCTCCTGCCTCCAACAGTTTTCTCCTTTGCGTATTTTTAAAGATTTGTTGGCATCTTGGGAGCAGGGACCTGGCTTCTCATTCTTTCCCCCCATTCATTATAAAGCCATGAACAGAAGCAGAACACGCGAACCAAAACTGAACAGCTGGGACTTGTATTTTGCACCATTTGAAAGCAAACAAACAGATACTGAACCTCATACCTTAAAGGCTTTCATTTCCTTGAACGACCGAAGCATCGCCATTGCCCCGCGGATAAAATGCCGTGGCGGGCTTTGCAGAATGAATAGAAAGGCTGTCTCCCATTCACATTGTTACAATTCCCACCTACCCCAAATTCTGCGGGATAGCCAGCCTCATAGAACCAATGTGCTTAAGCCTAATTAACACATGAAGGAGTGAATTACCAGAGAGTAAGTTGCTCTGCTAGACTTAGTTATGTCCACTTCCCCTCACCTTGAGGGGACTGTTCTCCCTCAGTCTACCTGACAAGCTCACCATGTGAGGAGGCCTGAGGTGGCTGCTCCAGTTTAGACCACATGGCTCTCACAAGCCACTCTTGAGTTCCCATACAAATACAGTGGTACCTCTGGATGCAAATGGGATCCGTTCCGGAGCCCCGTTTGCATCCTGAGCAGAACGCAACCCGCGTCTGCGCGTCGCAATTCACTGCTTCTGCGCATGACGTCATTTTGCTCGTCTGCGCATACGCGAGCAGCGAAACCCAGAAGTAACCTGTTCCGTTACTTCCGGGTCACTGCGGAACGCAACCTGAAAACGCTCAACCTGAAGCTACTTTAACCCGAGGTATGACTGTAATTTAGAAACTTTCACCACTTTGGAACTAAACCAAGTTTTACTTCCTGTGCAATTTTTCTGAATGCTGCATGGAAAAGCACATGAATCTGACATTTGGAGAATTTGTAAGTAAACCATTTTTAACATTTTTAACCAAATGTGTGTTCTTTTTTGTGTGCCAGGGGAAACTTTTGGAACTCACTTTAAAGGACATATTTTTAAGGTCTAAATCCTATATTTCTGTACACCACTTAAGAGAGGTTCAGAATTACTTTTAAATAAACATAAATAAAAACCAGTACATGTTGCCACTATTCAATAGCTAGCTATAATAAGTGTCAAATGTATTGCTCTGCTTTCCTTTAGATCACATCAGTGAGGTCAAGTGGGGGGGGGGGCTTGCCGTCTGGGGAGCCATCCACACTGCCCGGCTTGCACCCTGGGGAGGTCACTTCAGTGCTGCTAATGCAGCAAAAACAATGTGGGAGGCAGCAGTCATGAGATACAGGTCTCTGCAGCCACAGCAGGTGATGCGATTCTCCAGCGGCTTGAATTCACCCCTGGAGGCACTTTCCATTGTCTCTTGAGCCAGACGGAGGCCAACAACAACATCTTTCCACCTGGAGTTGTTTGCTCCCCATATTCTAAACCTTCCAGAGGGCAATGATTGTGATGCAAGAGGGTTTTTAAAAATAAAAATAGGAAACTGCCTTACGCTAGTAGTTCCACCACTGAGCTATTACCCTTCCCTACTGTATTATTACAACACACAAGCAATTCATGGGACAATGCGGCGCTTGGAAATGACTGTGCCTTCCTGAGCAAAGTTCTCTGTTCACTCGTTGGTGCCTGCAGCCTCAGGGGCGTTTAAAAAAGGAAAGGGGAAGGCGTTCAAATGGAAACACTCACAAAATGGGTAAGTGCACAGCTTGTTAAGTAAACAAAGGCAGGAACAGAGGTTTTTCAAGAAACGCCTTTTTCCCAACGGCAGAGGTGCCAGAAGCCTGGCCATCAAAGGCACAGAAGTGAGACGCAAACATCTTGCTCCCTTGCCCTTCGCAGCTGCAGATCCTGCACAAGGCTTCTGTTTCTTTGGACAGACTTAGCAGCAATTTGGCGCAGGCGGGACAGTGTGAATTGGCTGCCACTGACCCCACCTGTCCTGAGAGCGAGTTTCTGGGGTGGTGGTGGGAGACAAAGCTGGATACGGTGTGGGCAGCAATGAAGAAAAATCTTAGCAGCAACGACGGGTGCCAGAATAGCAGGGAAAGAAAAGGATGTGAGCTCGTTTGCTCCTTACCCTTCTGAGCTGAGGCTTCTATTCTCTAAGACAAATTATTAACACTCATTTGCTGGTGATTTGGTATAGGTGACATGTGCGAATTAGCCCAAAGAGGCAGGCCAAGAAGATTCTTCATCCTGAGGGTGTGTTTGGGGATGGGGAGAGAAGCCAGGCAAGCTGCAGGCAGGGGGCTGCCCAGTGATGGTCAGTGGGGCGAACCACGAGGGGTGGCGGTCAGCGACTGCAGTCATATGAAAGAGGCAAATAGATAAAGGCCCGGGTACGAGATGGGGAAGTGGAGATGATGATGATGATGATGATGATGATGATAATAATAATAATAATAATAATA